GGCAGACCAATAGGATGAATAAATGCGTAGAAATACGAAAACATGCAATCAATAGTTTTGTTTGTATAAAATGCAAACAGTTTAAAATAAACACAACTGTCAATGAATAGAAAACCAAAGTAAAATAACAATGTGTTAAGAGCACGTTTTGTAGCTTGGTCATAGAGATGTTAATAACATAGTTTTATCCATAATAGCATCATTTTCGGAACGCATAACATCTGCCAAAGTTTGTGAAGAATTTGCACAAGTTACGGATGTCTCTTCTTGTAAGGAACAGTTATATTTTCCTTGGATTTTCCTTACAATATCAAGTTTGTTAGATATACTCATCAACATAACTTTCTGCTACAGAGGAGATCTTCTATCCACCATTGGTCAATAATGGCCAGTATACAGGGTGTCTCATAATTAGCTGCCAACTCTGAACAGGCCGATTCTATGATCAAAACTAAGTAAAAAAGTTCATATGAACATGGGTCCGGAAATGCTTGCTAAGGGCACAGGGACTCACTGAAGAGGGAGGAATGGAAATCATTTTTTTGCAATATCTCTCAATCGCGTTGTGATAAATGAATGAAATTTGGTATACACAGCTAAATTTTGATGAGCAATTTGATGGACTAATCCATTTATTTCCACAAGGTCCATTGGGGTGGGTACGGGGGGGCCCTTGGTACTTTGCGTGTGTAACTTTTTCATCTTTGACTTTTTAACAAATTGGACAGCAAATTCCGTTTTCCCGAACTGTTTTACGTTAAAAAGGTACTCTTGTTTCAAATCGTTATCTTTAACGGTTTCTGAGAAAATCGCTCTTGAATTAATCCCACTTTGGTCAATTTCATAGTAATTTAAACAAAATTATCAAGGTATTCTTATGTCAAAGTATTGTCAACCCGATTGCCAATTTAATAGTTCTAAGCGAAAAAAATGGAAGAGTTTACGGGACAAGAGTTAGTTGATATGATATTTATTTATGGCTTTTGCGATGGTAATGCTGCAGCGGCAGAACGCGAGTACGGGAGAAGGTTTCCAAACCGAAGGCTGCCATCAAGGAGGACATTCCCTACGGTATTCCGCAACTTAGCTGCAACCGCCACTTTTCGAAAGGCACCGGGTCAAGGACGTCCCAGGATTAATAGGGAAGCGGAGGTCCTTGACGCTATTGAACAAGATCCTACGACTAGCATACGGAACATTTCAAGGCAAATAAATGTTCCTCGGCCAACGGTACTACATATCTTAAAGATTTCCTTAACAGAATTGATTAGATGTGCTACTAACATTTCAGGTTGGAAGAATATTAAAGCGACAAGGTCTACATGCCTATCACTATCGACGTGTACATGGCTTGATACCAGAAGATTTTGCGCCACGTATGCAATTTTGTCGCTGGATTTTGTCGCTGGACAACGAGCAAGCTTCCAAAATTTTGTGGTGTGACGAAGCTACTTTTACCCGAAATGGAAAATTAAATTTTCATAATTCTCATTATTGGGAAGAAGAGAACCCACATGTTGTTCGGAGAACAAACTTCCAGCAACGGTTTTCCATAAATTTATGGGCGGGAATAATTCACGACACTCTGATTGGACCTATTGAAATTCCACAACGTCTCAATTCAAATCTTTATTTAAACTTACTTCAAGAAAATCTTCCCCAAATTCTCGATGATCTGCCTCTAAATTTACGACGTAACATGTTTTTTCAACACGATGGAGCCCCGGCACATAGTGGTCGCAATGTTCTAAATTTCCTAAACGAAAATTTCGCTGGACGGTGGATAGGGAGGCACGGACCGGTAGCTTGGCCGCCGCGTTCTCCCGACCTAACCCCGCTGGACTTCTTTTTCTGGGGATATCTAAATCAAAAAGTTTACGCCACCGAAGTCGATACCCGTGAGGAATTGCTGCAGCGTATCAATGATGCAGCCAATGAAATTCGTCAAAACCGTTTTAGCATCTTAATAGCTTCGAGAAGTGTTACACGTAGGGCAAGACTTTGTATCAGAGAAGGTGGAGGGTTTTTTGAACAGTTTTTAAAATAGCTTGTTGTCTGTTATCAAAATTAAGTTTCCATCTTATGATCCCTTCGAAAAGTGACGGTTGCAGCTAAATTGCGGAATACAGTGAGGAATGTCCTCCTTGATGTCAGCCTTCTGTTTGGAAACCTTCTGCCGTACTCGCGTTCTGCCGCGCAGCATTACCATCGCAAAAGCCATAAACAAATCATCATATCATAATTGTTCTACATCAATAATGTGTATTACTGATTACGTATTAAATTATTATTATTATTTTTTGTTTAAATTACTATGAAACTGACCAAAGTGGGATTAATTCAAGAGTGATTTTCTCAGAAACCGTTAAAGATAACGATTTGAAACAAGAGTACCTTTTTAATGTCAAACAGTTCGGGAAAATGGAATTTGCTGTCCAATAATAGGTAACTGCCTGTACCTCACTAATTTTCAAATTTGTCAATTCGCAGCATCGACAGGCACCAGAAACCCCCATTATTAGTGCAACCTAAAATAATTCAAAGTTCACTATATGCCTAACAACATGTATAAGGTAAAGTTTAATCATTAAATATTCTTTATCGAAAGCCCTAGTAAAAAATTCTTCAATACGTGCTCTTTCCAATACTGCAGCTTTTTTTGCTTTGTATCCTCTCGATTCATTCTTCAAACAAGCAGTAAGCTTGTTATATTTTCCAATATCTATATTTTTGTAAACCTTTTTAGTAGCCCTTCAACATCGAATACTTCGACCACATAAATGAAATTGCATATTTTTTCATCAAGTTTAAAAAGTACGATATCATGACTTCTTCATTTATTGTCATTACACTTTGTTTTTCCCTCCATTCTTTAAATTCGGAAAACACTTTTTCGTAATGTTCCATGGAGTTCGCTGGCAATAAATGAAAAATTGCTTCTTGAGCTTCTTCAAGAACAGCCACAGGAACACAATTACTTTCTTGCGTTTTTACCAAATTCGGATCGAACTGTTTATTAAATAATTGATAATAAACAACGTACCATAGCAACCAGTAGGTATAACAAAACCTACCATGTATTGCATTCGTGTTTCAATTGCCTTTTATCTACTTAAGAATATTGAACACTTTTTTTAACGTGATTTCCCCGGTAGGCCTACTGCACGAACTGTTATGACGGAATCTTCAGGGACAATACTCTTTTAACTGCATGATGATTATTATTGATATTGATATTGGTTATTGACTAACTGTAGTTCTAATTTCTTTTGATATTTTAATCTGATTCATACTCTTCAAAGTCGACTTCAACAGTCATGCCTTCTTCGATTTCTTCTTCTTCTTCCTTTTCTTGCTGGATGTTCATAAATTGTTCAAATGAAGATAAATCAGCTGTCTCTTCATCGAAATCACATGAATCTTCGTCTGTTGTATTTAATTGGACATTTGAGCAAGACTGGCTTTGGCAATTAGTACACGTTGGAGAACACAGTAACCCTACTCTTCTACAGCCACATTTAGCACTACAACCTTTATTGCAATTGCAAAAAATAGTGTTTAGGAGTTTTTCCGGAGCAGGTGGGAGTAAAGTGTGAATCGGTTCCAAAGTATTATCTGTTAATTTCCAATCCCAGTCTTCTGGGTTCAGTTGATTGCCTAGCCATGTCTGAACTTGATAGTATAATCAATACAAGTGTTGATTAGCAGAAGCCCATGTTGGAGGAAGACAAGATAGTTGTACTTGTTTCTTGTTTCGTGTATTTTTTACAAAAGTTAAATATCTATATTTATCTATACAATTAATTTTTGTTGGAGCTCCATAAACAGCAAGGACAAAGCGGATTCCTTTTGTGATTATTGTTCGAGGTGAAGAATCAATTTCGGTAAATACTTTAGCGCAATCAATCAAATCTTTTTTTCAAATAATTTTAATACTGATGTTTTACCCCTTGTGAACATTGCTAATGTAGTATCGCAGCCGGTTATCGCATGTAAAAATAAGATATGGTTTTGGCATTTTGGATAAGCAGGTAAACTTTTTGAAGAATATATTTCTGTTCGCTGTTGAGCCTTTCCAGGTTTTAAAAAGTGTATAATTTTATCAATTGGAGTCCTTGCAGTGAGTAGTATTGATAAGTCAACATGTTCACCAACTACAATAGTTGTATTTGTTGCATTAAATTGTTCTATTGCTGTTTCAATTATAAGGACATCTGCGTAATTTTGACTAAGGGACTGAGACTGATCTTTTGAGTGCATATTCTCAGAATAGTATAGTTTATACATATAAGAGACACAAATAGGCATTTTTACTTGTATTAAGTGCCTGACTATGTGGCATATAGTGCATATCATGTAGAACGTGACTCCTTCAACTTTTAGAATCGCGATATTTCAGGAATGGTGATCCTTAGAAAAAAAGTCTATAAATTTTGTCTGAACTACTTTTTTAATAAAACTTACCGTTTTCGAAAAAAATCCAAAAAGCCTCAAATTTTGACCTTTGACCCCGAATAACTTTTTTAGCACACATGGGATCGATGGGGACTTTTGACACATTATTTCTAATGGTGTACCCAAGGTCTCCACCAAGATTTAGCTCTATCGGAATTTTTGTTATTTGACCACTATTTTTATGACTAATTTGACCGGACTATTATACAATAAATAACTATTTATATTTGCCATATAACATTTTTTATAATTTCGTTGTGAAAACATTTTAGTGACGAAGTATCAATTCGATCGCAGGCAACAAAATTGGTATTCCTACAGCACGTAAGTATTATTATATTATTAGAAACAATAAATTAGTAATAAAGCATTATAATTCCGACTGTATATCAGTTCTTTAACGAGGGTTTTAGACAATCTAAGCAAGTTAGAGGTTATATGTAAAACCTGACGTGTTGGGGTCAAATGGATCACGGATTCGGATTCAGTGACCCCGAAAACATGTGGTGTGTGGTGCTATTTCTATTCAATTTTATACGACTTACCTTATCAGATCCAATAAAGTATCCTGGGTGAGGACCTCCCGGGTCACATACTTCTCATTAGACGCCTCCATGGGTTTCACGCCCACTCCCGGCCTAATGGTCACCACCAGAATCATACCCAAGATGACAGCAGAGACCGTCGTCGCCGAATAGTAGAATATCGACCTGAAGGCTATCTTCCTCGACAGGCTCAGGTCCAACGAGCCGATGGCGTGAATCACGGACGACATGAGCAATGGAATGATGAGACATTTCAGCATCCTGAGGAAGATTTCTCCGGGAAACGCCAGGTACATGGTGTCTCGCTTGTTCCATTTGCCCAACGCATTCCTGAGGATGATGCCCGTGACGGAACCGCCCACGACGCCGATCACCGTCAGGATGGTGAGGAGGTTGCGACGGAGGAACGAACGCTGATCCTTCGCCATGGCTGGAGGTCAACCTGGAAAAAAGGAGAGTTCTTTTTAACAATACATCTTTTATTGGTAATTACCGTACTATGTTTAATTATTGGTATAGGGTCAGCGTCAATTATTGTCATTATTTCCTAATAAATTTAGTAAATTTCAGTTTTCTTATCCGTATTTTTGGAGTTTCCTTGTGGTCTGTGTCATAGGAGTTCTTCTTGGGAATTATCGTGGTGAGGGGATCCCTCGGCAGCTGCTACCTGAGAAATGCCAGCTGTTAAAAAACGGTGGTGCAAATTCGCACTAGTGTGACCTTTGAGGGTTAATATACCGATGACGTATTCCTACCTTAGAAAATCTGCAATAGTATTGAATGACTCAACGTCAAAACCATCCTACGAGGATGTTTTAAGGTAATTTTATTGTTTAACTGAGTTTGTAACTGTAGATTGTGTAAATTATATGCAAAAGAAAATGGAACGTCAAGTAGAAAAAAAACATAAATTTGTTTGAGTTCAATTTCAATTAACAAGAATATAGTTAGGCAACCAACATTAACTCTGAACCATATCGCCTAGATAGCTCGGAATCACAACGTGTGTGTACAAAATACTTTGGACGCTTTCATGTACAATACAAAAAACGTTATTCCGCAAACAATGATACAAACCACACCTAGTCCAGGATGAGAGGGGCCAAAATATTTTACATATTATGGTCTCGGCCATCTCGCAGACATTGGTTATGTAAGCTGCGTTATTAGATCTATGTATATCTGACATTTTTTTTCAGTTGACAGATATTAATAGAGATGGCGCATGAATTCACTTTTCCAGAAAAAATAATATAGCAGATAAATCTAGATCAAAACAAATACAACTGTAAATACCTTTACATTGTTTACTGGCCGCTATAACGTGTTGTCTGAAGCAGGAAATTGAGATTATTAGAGGTTTGAGAGAAAAAATATTAGGTTATGCGCTTATGCTTCCTATCAAGGATAAGCATCTCTCATTTTGCAGTTTTCTGAAACATGAATTCCTTTAGCATGGTTGTAAATAAATCTCGCTAAAAGTGATCGAAAATGTCAGACATGTTGATCACAATGTCAGACGTTTCGAGAGACATATCACTCTCTACATCAGAAGTTACTCTGAAACTGGAGATCTACTACTCTTGTCACTATTTATATTTGATGTGGTCACTGATCCATGACGTTCCGGTGGGTGACCTCGTACGCGCTGATGATCCTCGCTCGATGAATCAAAGTATTTATGATTCCCTGTTTCTGGGCTGGGTGGTGGTGGGACTCCGTATTCATATATCGGTCCTAAAGTGCCATTTGGAAAAATCAGGTTGTTTGAAACCAAAACCAAAGTTCAAAATAAAAAGTGCCAAATAATGGCTAAAATTTCTTGCATTTAAGGGTAACGATATAAGAAATTACCATTTGCGTTGTTTTTAATGTTATGTAAATCTAACTATTCCGGACTTCTATTGTTATCTGTATGAGCGATATTAAGTTGCGATTAATTTTCTGTTGTTTCTATTGGTTCCTGGAATGCACACTCTCAGCAAATTACCGACTGACAATAGTTAAGGCCTTAAATTATTACCATTTCAAAGATGTTGAATGGCATTTAGATTCAAAGATCCGGATGCCATTTCTAGATCATTTGCTTTGATGTTCCAGCGTGTTTTAGAAACCGGCAGTGTTATTTTTCGTCTTATACAGGATGTCTCGAACTCGATAGTATGGGCCTGCTGTGAGGATACAAAAAATTTAAATATACAGGGTGTAAAATAAAGTAAAATAACTCCCTTGTTACTCATAATACAGAAAGAAAAGTTTATATAAAAGTTATACTTAACCAAGAAACCCAAACTACAAAATTAATTTGATACATACAGAGTGATGAGTAAAAACAGGACACGCCAAATATTACATTTTTTAAATGGAATACCCTGTATTTTTACACATATGGATTTCCGAGAAAATTCTATATATGACTATATAAACAGTTTATCATTTTAGTGTGAGGTTGCCAAGTTATGTAGAAAATTCTTCGAATTTTGGAAAAAACATGACCTCGAAGAAGTTTTATTAACTTTCAGCTACTAACACTTGGAACAAAATAATTAGTTGTAGACAAAGACTCCTATATTAACTTATATCGATATTTTATACAGGGCATTTTTTATAATACAATCATTTTTAAAAAGTTTAAACTTAATTTTCTAAAATTTTTCAAATCCAAAGATGTTGCTATATCTTAAAACCTAACAACTTTAGGTTTAGAACATACTTAATAAAAGTTGAAGTGGACTGATATGTGAATAAAATTGAACAATAAAATACGGTGTTCCATTTGAAAAATTTTAGAAAATCAAGTTTGAACTGTCTTAAAATGATCGTATTATAAAAAATGCCTTTTATAAAATATCGATATTAGCTAATATAGGAGTCTTTGCCTAATATTTGCATACAACTCAGTCAAATATTTTTGCTCCTAGTGTTAGTAGTTGAAAGTTAATACAACGTCTTCGAGGTCATGTTTTTCCAAAATTCGAAGAATTTTGTACATAACTTGGCAACCCCGCACTAAAATGATAAAACTGTTGATATTGATATACATAGAATATTGATTTACATAGAATTTTCTCAGAAATCCATATGTTTAAAAATGTACAGGGTGTTCCATTTAAAAAATGTAATATTTGGCGTATCCTGTTATTACTCATCGCCCTGTGCGTTTCAAATTAATTTTGTTCTTTAGATTTTTTCATTCTGTATAGCTTTTATATAAACTTTTTTTCTGTATTATGAATAATAAGGGAGTTATTTTACTTTCTCACACTAATGGCCCACCCTGTATAATTTGGGACACGTGGTGTTAAATGGGATGAGGTAAGCTCCATAAAAAGCTCTCTTTTTTCTAATAAACTTTTATTGGAGAAATTTTTCCGCATTATTTCCCGTTTAAAAGTTATAAGCAATATTTTCCTAGTCTCAAAAGAAATACCACTTAAAAATTACATTAGCGATGGAAGGATCAAGTAGTCGTTGAAAAATAATTGAATGTTCGCTATTTAAGCTTACCTCATCCCATTTATCACCACGTGTCCCAAATTTTATTTAAATTGTGTATATGCTCACAGTAGGACCATACATCGTGTTTGAGACACCCAATACAACAAATTCATGTGCGAAGAGCAGACAATTTCGGTACAAGAAAATCGATCTGATGTATCTAAAGCAACAGTACATAAAATAATTAAACAACCATTGCATCCCTATCATGTACAACGAGTACGGAAATTGACGGTAGTAAGTTTTCCTCGCATACAAATACGATACATTTGATAAGGATTTAGAAAATAAGGAAAACAACGAAAATCAACCTAGTGTACCATGTTTATATATTTGTTTACATATTTGTTTAATGATGTTACTAGAAAAAGTTATACTTCTTTCTTTTATGTTCTTAGAAGCTTAGATATTGTTCTATACTATTAGAAACCATGGCAATTTCGGGGAATAACAAATAATAAAGCGTCAATGCGCGGGGGGGAACTTTATAAACTATTGTAAACTATTGTAAACAATTGTGCTACATAAAGGAAATTCGGAACAATAATAAAATAAATAAAATGTATACAAACTGTAATGTCATACAAGAAACCTAAAAATCCCCTTATAATTTGTTGTGTAAATTATGGTAATAGAGAAATGATAGTAATTATTGATGATAACTTATGAACTCTGCGAAAACCTCGTATCGGCTAAGAGGCATGTTAATTCCAGTTATTGATGACAAAAAGTTATCTGAAACAGATAAATAAGTCATTCGATTGAATGGACGATTTTCTGTCTGGAATTTGGTCACTGTGTTACTTGTCTTTCTCCAGCAGAGCTATATTAGAATAAATAAAATAATCATTAAAGGATTTTCAAAACTGTGCTAATTTTTAAATTCAATATTATCTTAACTTAGTCTTTTAATCTTATCAAATATTTACAGACATATAAAGATTACTATGTGCTGCTGTGAGATAGGTTTCTTTGCCAATATATTGTGATGAATAAACTTGTCTCAACGTCGCGTCGTAGCCGTAAACACAGTCTTCGTCTCCCGTTATGATCCTTTGAATGAATGTGTCATCGTCATTGGATTGTTCAAGGAGTTGCCGACAAACGTCCACACGATTTATTTCTGTTGTTCGGTCACCAAACGAGAAACAGTTTTGCTGCAACTCGATGCATCTTCAATTTTTCAGTCAAAATTTCATGCCATGACCCAATTGAGACGCTAATCTCTTCTGCAATTTCTCTCTCGGCGATTTGCACGCACCAGATCTTTGACTTTCTGAACGTAGTTGAAGTCGAAGGCCTTCCTGGTCAAGGATCATCTTCACAACCACTTTTAAATCATGAAAACCATTAGTAACATTGCGTAGGTACGACTCAGAGCATCTTCTCCATAAGCTCCAAAAGTGAAAACGTTTCCGTGAAAGTTTTCTCCCATTTCACACAAAATTTTGCATTGTAGGTATGGTTGTTCCAGAAAATCGCATATTTGAAAAATCGCCACTTATCACGTTGCACTTAAGTAGGTAACAGTATTTAAGATCGTGACTGAAAACATAAATAGGTACTAACCAAATTTGGACAGGACATAGCTAATAATACAATGCGAAACATCACCTTACTGTTAAAAATGTTGTCACCGCCGTTCTTGGTGGTGAAAATTCGAAATATTTTGAATTATTCAATTTTCGTGGCTGAAAACACACATAGCTATTGTATTTTTAAAATCGAGAAAGTTGCACTAACCAAATTTGGACAGGACATAGCTAATACAATGCGAAACATCGTCTTAATGTTAAAATTGTTGTCACCGGCGTTCTTGTTGGTGAAAATTCGAAATATTTGGATTTATTCCATTTTCGTGACTGGAAACATACATAGGTGTTGTACTAATAAATATTATTTATTATTATTATATATCATTATCAGAATTTAGTGGTATTGCAT